CAATGAGTCAATGCAATCAACTGGTTTTCCTTAGATATAAAACTTTGAATCAATTTGACTGTATGATCTGGTGAACTGTAAAGTGCCTTGAGATGACATGTGTGTGAATTGGCGCTATATAAATAAACTGAACTGAACTGAAAACACCCACACACTCCCCCTCCCAAAGTACGGGTCAATAGAGAACCGTGTTACCAAGAATATATGAATATGGTATGTTTCAGAGCTGAGGAGAAGGTTCTTTGCTGTATTTTAGCTTTGTTTGTGTTTCCCGCACCTCTACAGGTGTTTAGTTCCATAGACAGAGCATACAGGAGTTAAAGAACAAAGGAAGTCCTCTGTGGATCAAATAATGGTCAATAACCTACTGGAAATGACATAAACAGCTGCCCACTGACATTGTAGGTCAGAGCTGGATGTGAATTGATCTGAACTCTGCAGATATGTGGCTGATAGATGAGGCAGGCCGTGTTTACGGAAGGGCGCTGGAGAGCAATTGGAGCCCCAGGCAAGGTTACCCCCACCTCTGACCCTGTGGCCCTCAGTGATGCTTTCTGCATCGCTCTCATGCGTTTTCAGCACACATGGCCAGATCTTCATTTGTCTTTCTCAGGATATATTAAAATTTAGAGTTCAACAAGAGATTACTCTTAATTTAAAATAAATATTAAACTAAGAGCATCATGAATGCAACATGCATTATCAATCACAGTGTCAATATGTGGGGTTCTTAGTGATTTATTAGTTAAAAAAAGATGGATGTCTTTATAAAACAACATATCTGTGACTACAGTAGCTTGCTACCTCTACTTTCTGTTTATTACAGCCAAGTAAGATGGAAAGGATGGGATGGAAACAAGGCTGTTGATTAAAGAGGACTCAAAGTCATCTACAAAAAAGTTTCAGACACATGTTTTAAAGAAATTCAAAGCAAACGCTTTTCTAAAGCATGCTGGGATATATCTGACATTCATATAGGCTGCTAGACTGAGAGAGAGCAAGACTTTTAGCAGATAATAACAAGGCTTACATGGACGACACAAAAGTTGCTCTTTGTATTCTGTAATATAACATGCTAAATTGAATGTTTAGGACACCTTTACAACACCTCAGAGCTAAGGTGAGTTCCTACACTCAGCATGAATGGTAAAAAAGAAAGCTAACGTTCATACACATTCCTTAAAGAGAAATTTTAATGGGTTCAAATCAGGATGAGAGGTCTGGATTATTATCCGATGATCTGTCTGAAACTTGATACTATATTGAATTTGATGTAAGAAGCTTAACAGGTAAGAACAGAACCCCTAACATGCGGCTGTGTATTTTTACTTCATAAGGCGTTACCAACGCCAGAGACCAACTTGATCAGATCTGGTTTTAGACACAAGCCACCGCTGCTCTGGTCTATTGTGAGGAAATCAAGAGCCAATTCAAAGACCAAGCTTCTTGGTTTCCAGATCTGTCCAAGTTTCCAGCTTCTCCTACAGTCATGAGATTTAGATCCTGACCAAAACAACCTGATGCTAGATCTAAGTGACCATAATGAGTTTCATCTGTAGGATGGCTGGACTTCATCTTAGAGATAAGATGACAAACTCTGCCATCTGTGGGAAGCCCAAAGCAGAGAAAAGAAGTCAGCTAGGGTGGTCCAAGCATTTGATCAAGTTTCCGGACATTTCTCATTGGTAGGAAATACTGTGAGAAATCCAGAACTCATTAGAGGGACTATATATCCAATCTGGCATATAAACAGTTTGGGATCCCCCCAGGATGACCTAGAGTCTTGCTGGAGACAAGGGTCCCCCCTGTTACCTCATCCTCCTATTGGTACATTTTATCTGGGTTTTTTTTGGGAGGGGGGGTTTTGTGTTTTTTTTTTCATAGAGACTACATCCACTTTTAGGTGACTTTAAAGCCGTAAGAAAAAACAATCAATCTCCTCAGCTTTACAGGGAGATTACGTCATAACATCACAAAGGATAAAACTGGATGTTATTGCTGGTCGTGAGTCCTTGCGTCTTACTTCCAGACAACCTCCAGAGTTGCACATTAGACATAATAACCAGAGATAATCTCTTATGCTCACTGCATTGAAGCTGCTGTATAGAGGAGAGATTTGTTTTCTCCGTTTCCACGCAAGCGAGAAAACATGGAGTTCCCCTAAACTACAAGATTAATTAAGGTTTAGAGTTTTGCTAGTGCAGATGATGAAGAGGATTGTTTACCCAAATGTCCAGTGAATATATATCAGTTGAGAAAGGACCTTTGGTCTAGGACATTATTTTCTGCCTTTACTATTTCTGTTAAAGGAAATCAACATTTACATTGACCTGAACCAAGAATATTGCAAAAGGCAAGACCAAGATCATTTCAACCAATCAGTGAAAAATTATGGTTAAAATACTTTTTGTTTTTTTCTGGAAATGTTTGTATTGAGATGGGTGCAGAAAAGCAGATCCCAAAAGCATACTTCTTCAAGGTGAGTCAGTTAGGCATTAAACATGGGGTATTTATAGTAATGAGAAAAAAGGAACAAAATATATGCAAAGGTCAAGGTCCGTATAGGTCTAACGTAGAACATGTAGGACACATTTAAATATCTCTTTATTCTTTAAAGCACATTTTGCTTCAGTTTTATTTTTCATGACATAATCTGTGGTATGTGGTTTTGTTAATTTGAGGTTAGATTTAAAATGGGAACCCAGTAATGACCAGATTATTCAAGTCATAATCCAAGAACTGACATACAGTGAACTTTCTTTTTGCTGTGATTGTACCGATTCCATCAGGTCAGAATCTAGTCCTGTTATTCCTCCTGATGAGCGACAAATCAGCAATCACTTAAGAATTTAGCCTCAACTGGGCAATCTTAAGCACAATATGGGGTTCCAGAGATTTTGTACATCAACTAATGTACATTTGCGCATTCAACCCTCAGATAAGTACTATATATGTGGGTAATTGTTTCCTGAAACATGCCAGACTGTTCTGACGTGTATGGATAACAGAGACTGCCCCTCTCCCACTTGTTGTTGAACACAACCAATAAGTTGATAGAAAGAGGGCAGCTACACTTTACCAATGGTTACAACAAATACATATTGCTCTCTCTATTTTTGCAAAAGGAGAACCTTAACAGAGTCATTAATGTGTGTTAATGATGTCCTACCCTTAATTATAAGAATCAGGGCAGCACTTATAAAACAGATTCACAGACAAAGGTTTTTTCTATCTTAATTAATAAAAAGTATATATATTTTTGTGCAGTTTTGGATAAATTGCTGCAATTAGCTGGTTGGTCCTTCAGCAAGTGGCCTGTTTTAAAGTCTACATGCTTCAACTGGACAATTAAATTGATAATTAACATAATTGTTTATTTCCAATAAAAAATAATAAATGTTACATATTATTAAATTGGGAAAACATTTCATTAAAAAAACTGCTGTAGTATTTTACTGACTGAGTTTGTACTGTTTATTTATGTTAATAATATCTGTTTAAGCACCTTTAAATTAGTATCCTTTTGATTATTGGTTTAGGTAGTTTTATTTTTAAACTTGTTTTTGTTTTCTTTTTTCATAAATACCAGGCATTATTAATCATATTGGACAATTAGGGCATGTGGATATCAGTACTACTGTTGGTAAAACCTGCAAATAGAATACATTGACCAACTTTACAGTTTTACAGCAGCCCCCGCTTTATTAAACAATTTCATCTGCTTTTGCTCCATTTTTATCTCTATCATAGGGGTGGTACCGATGAACAAAACAAAAGCAAAGAAGTTACACCCAGTTGATGCATGGCTGCTTTTAATTTTCCGTTTCCATTTGGCTGACAGAAATAGTCCTCCCCTCGATCTCTATCTCCACTCTATCTCCCAGATAGGGTTGCTCAACCATCATGCTTTAGTTTCCCTCTGTGACAGGAACCAGAAGATATGATCCACTGATTCAGACAGCATCTAGTTATCTACATTCACCTTCAAACAGCCACTTGATCTGGAAAGTTAACCTGTAGACTCCAAAAACGGTTAAAATACAAACAGTCCTTCATCTAAAGGCTGTAAAAACTGTATGATGATGAAGATTCAAACCGCTATAATCAGTGCTGAGAGTGCAGCCAGTTGTAAAAAACAACAAGCGAAACTCCCAGAGACGGGCATCAACCTACACCTCCCGTCGCCCTCTCTCTCATGTACACACACCCCTCATATCTTCAAAGCCAGCCTGCTTGTGTTTCTGTCACCCCTATAAATAGACGAACCCCCCCATTTGGGTTGTGTTACAAAGCCGACAGCAACAATACCAGGAAAGAATCCTTACTTTGCCGATTTTATCCAGAATACAGGACCAAAGCAGTGCTAATTTAAATTCAGCAGGAGGTAGGCGTGCTCCGTGCCTAAACATGCCTACATGACAGGTCCAGCATAGAAACCGCAAAGAAAAAGAGCGCGCCACACACTCAGATCCTGCAACTCTACCCTAGCAAGTTTGCTTCCTGCAATGAAATGCTTGGTTAAAGGTGGGTTGCTCCTTTCAGAGCATCATCTAGCTCTTATTCAGCATGCAAAATTGTCCTTATTTCATCTTTTCTTTCTAAACTCCATCAGTATCTCACTGCTACAGCTCCAGTGACCCTCCAAGAGGTGCTTAAATGTCTTACTTCCAGACAACCTCCAGAGTTGATCAGTAGAGATAATAAGCAGGGCTAATCTTCTCTGGTGCTCACACTCACTGCACTGTTACTGCCAAGCGTGTTTATGGAGCAGGAGTGAGTCTCACTGGGAGCATGATACCAACAAGGAATTCTCCTGCAGCTAAGACCAGAAGTCAGCTACCACACAGCTGGTACAAAGCTGCAGACTGCATTGGTTTATAAGGGTGCTGATTGTGTAGATACAGTATATGATAAATAAGGCAAAGCAATCACACCGGTTCAATCAAGTGAACTGACACAAAAGATCAGCGTTTAAACCTTTAACCCAAAGCCCAACCAACCTGGTATTCCCTCCTGGATTAGTGAATGGGAGAAATCAGGCAGTAGTGGCAGATGGCAGAGGTAAAACTCATGTCTCTCTTTCCCACTCTGCGGTTGTTTCAGATTCTGTAAGCAGATTCCAACAGAGAACCCGGAACGGACAGGCGGGTAGGTGATCAGAAAAACGCGAGTCGCTCCAGTTGTCCCTCCAGTTATTCCGTCCAGATGCTCACATGAGGAGCTGCCAACTAACGAAAGGTTCTCCCAGACTCCTTCAGGCTCTGCTCTCCAACGCTGTTCATCGGAGAGAGGAGTACCAACAGCTGTGAGTGTGTGAGAAGAGGTCTCTGTAAGTGTGTGTGTCCTCTGAGAATGAGGGTGTGTGTTTGTGTGGAAAAGAAGCTAAACGGACCACGTGATTGGAGCTTAATCCTCCGCCCACTGGCCTAGAGGTACACACAGAGCCACACAAACACATTGAGGCAAAGGCACACACATATACAAACCATTGGACCAATCAGAGCTCAGGCTGAGAGACTAATCACCCCTCCTCCTCTCTCTCTCTCTCTCTCTTTCTCTCTGTCTACTACACTAATTTTACCGCCTTGATCTATTCCCTCTCTGGTCCGTTCCTTGCATTCCACGATCCCTGCCATCCATCTCTTTTAAATATATCTCTCACACCCACTTCTAACCCCGTTCTGGGCAACTGTACTAAAGGTCAGTGTTTATGAGTTTGGCTGCCGAGCCACGCAAACCTGCAATACTAGAGGCAACTGCATGCCTTTTACTGCTGTGCCTGTAACTACAAGGCAGGGTTATCTGACTGGATCATTAACACAAACATCTTGAGGTTTTTCTTATAGAAATGACACTCTTCTATGATTAAAGGTCAGAGTTAAGGTCAACAACCTAGCAGCTGAATGCACTTCAGTGTCTGACTTGAAGGTCAGCTGTCAGACGCATTAGTTTGTTAATATTTGTTCATGTCAGCCAAACCGCCTCCTCTTACAAGTTATAATCAAGTGCTGAAACTGAAGTTTACCTTATTCCATGAGAAGCTTGTGATCCAAAGTGCAGTGTTTCCCATTAAGTGCCAGGACTGCGGTGGCAACATATGACTCAAAGATGTAAACAAACAAAAAAATATCCATCCATCCTTTTTTCTGTTAGGCTAATCCCTGCTGGGTCGTGAGGGATGCTGGTGCCTATCTCCAGCTGTCTACAGGCAGGAGGCGGGGTACCCTGGACAGGTCGCCAGTCCATCGCAGGGCAACACAGAGACAAACAGGACAAACAACTATTCACAAACACACTCAGGGAAGCCGATTAACCTAACATGTCCTGTTTTTGGACTGTGGAAGGTAGCCGGAGTACCCAGAGAAAACCCACATGCTCAGGGAGAACATGCAAACCCCATGCAGAAAGATCCCGGGGGTGGGAATCGAACCCGGAACCTTCTTGCTTCAAGAACCCACTGCACCACTGAGCAGCCTCACAAAAAATCTGTCAGTCAGACCAAAGTCTGCACTCTTGGTGTGGAGAGCGTAAATAGCTAGTCCAAAAATGTTTCGTTAAAAATGTTTAAAAAGATTGCTTGATTGAGTGAGGGACTTCAGAGATCCTGCGACCAGTTTCCTAAAATCCTGAGAAAAACAGTTTATGTTTATGCAGTCAGTCCCACACGCAGTCATTGCACTGATGTCCTCCCTATGTTGCTGACCAGTGCATCCCAGTCTGGAAACACCCAATGTTATTTTGTTCTCCCCAAGAAGAGTCTTATACCGCCTTTGCTGTAAACATACAATATTATCAACTGATTTCAACAGAACGGTAAGAAAAAAAAAAGAAAAGAAATGCTACTCTAAAAGTGCAGTGAAAATTTCACAAAAGAAGGAATTTAAAACCAAATAAGACAAAGGTCAGCAAACAGTGTTATCTTCTGTTCCCAGTAAATGGCTGCTTCCATGGAGGTTATTTACTACAGTATCCTACTCCTAATATAAATATGTGCTAATTAATCTGAAGTCACGCTGACATCCAAATGTGATATAGTGATAACAAATTGAAAAATGACAAATCAGAAGAAAGGAATTGAAAATGTAAAGCATGTTGACCTCCAGAGCCCCGTCTGTGGGCAAGAAGCCGAGTCACAGGTAAGTGTGCCAGTGGGACACACAAGGCCCATATTTCCTTTCAGTAATAACTGACTGGGATCCAGTTCATAAGTCACGTACTACAGGAGGAAACAAACAATCCAGGCAGCTAAGAACATCTGTCAGCAACCTGTCAGCGTATTCCTGAGTTACTGTGCTGTTGTTCGCTTCAAACTGACTCACCGACTCATTCATCTCAGCAGCTCTCTGATTCCTACGTCTGTCTCTCAGACGCCATAATTTAAGCCTATATAAAAAAAAAAAAAATGCATACAGCTGAAAACCTACAATTATGACTTTATGAGTTAACGGCAGTAACATTTAGATAAATACACATTTAACTATCTTAAAGAACAATAAAAGCATATTTGCCCTTTTTCAGATTTCTTTGCATTTAAAAAGTACATTTTGGAATCGAACCAAGATATGATAAAATACTTCTTGGAAGCTACACCCCACTAACTTTTTTCCCAGTTTGGGATAATGAATTTCACTGGGATTTCCCTGCATCCCAAAACATAAAAAACTCTCTGTAAATCTTTCCAGGTTGATAGAAGTCAGTTACTTTTATTTTCCCTATAAAACATGTTTAACTACTCTTGTCTATGGATGATGCTTGACAAGCACACTTGCTTCTACACTTTAATATGCCGGTTTGACACCTTTTGGTCTATTTCATGTTGCCAGGCAAAGTTTATTTAAGTCATTTCCTGATTCTAGAGGTCTGGTACTATCAGGTGTAGATTTGGCTTGAAATCTTTTAACTCCAATAATGCTATTATTTATAGTTGCCTAACGAAAAGAGGGAAAAACTTTTTTGGTTGTTTGGATAACTTTTTCTCTTAATAAATCAAATAAACTGGAAGCAACTTTTTACTGAGGTTACATAGGGCTTGGTATAAAATTTGACCTAAAACCTTTAATGTAAAAAAATATATAAATTAAGGGAACTTTTTGATAAGAAAAATACATTTTCTCTGCTTTGTTGCATATGGGAACATCTGTTAGCTTTAATTATCTTTTACAAGGATGTGCCTGCAGTCTTTTGGCTTTGTTCTGAATTGTACTAATAGCGTGTGCAACCAGGTTGATTCATTTACAGAGAGTTGAACACCATAAGACTCAAATAATGTGGTAATAAATACAAGGTGACGTAATAAAACGGCACAAAGCTGCACTGTAAATGAAAGTAACAGCTAAATGAAACCTGCCGAAGGCGTTGGGAATGTATGACCCACATTTTCTTGGCTCATGTTCAAAAAAAGACTGTTAACTGTTTCCCTGACTTAAATGGAAACTATCTGTACCTTAATCCTGACAGAATAATGAATTGTACTGATGCAAAGATTTGCCCGGGTGTCAGGTTTCAAGCCGAATGTTGTTGGTGTGCATGTCTTCAGTAATAAATAGCTACGGGCATTCTGACCATATCACCTGATATCGTAGATGATAAGGAGTTTTTGTATCAGCTCCTGCAAGATAAACTGCTTGAACACCCCCAGCAGATGCCGGGGGAGACTATCGGGTGATTCACGAAGAGTCTGAAACCCCACCAGCACAGAAACCTGCATGGTTTAGTGACATCTTGGTCTTGACTTCTGTTATCAGCTCAGACATGCTTCTGCAGTTACCACAGTGTGCTATACCAGAATACAAAGTGACGACAATTAGTCATTACTTCACTTATGTAAGAGGTATGACAAAAACTGAAGGAGACAACAACATTTATGTAATTACTAACGGCATGTTGTTGATAATGAATAATAGATGTCAATGTCCAAGTAAGTCAGGTTATCCTCGCAGATTAAAACCAACCAAAATCTGATTAGCAGTTTTACTCAGTTTAGGGGATTAAATCCTTCAACTATAAAAGGTTTTGCCTCTGTTTATTTCTTTCTTTTTTGTTAATAATATTATACATTTTGTTTCCCTCTATTTAATGCATTTATGGAAGATGAGATCAGTCCTTTTTAAATTATGGATAAGAATGGAAGAAATCTTTCTTTCTTTCTCTTTCTATACTCTGATTAAAATTAGGGACAATAATAATTTAGTAAAAACAATAACTTTTCATTTATTAATGTAAAGATAGATATAAATATATCAAAAGTACTGCTTTGCTGTTACTCATATCTAATTTGCATAGATGTCTTTCTTTCCATTATGCTCTGGAGATTATGGGTTCATTTTTTTTCTCCCAAAAATAAAGATAAAAAATTCAACAAATAAAACATACAACAAACTTCTAGAGCTATTCATGCAAGTACACCATATATAACTTTGATACACTCCATATTTGGCAACAGATTTCTCTGAATGGCATCACATGCATGTGGAGGGAATCAGCAGGGCGACTGCTTGGGGGCTACAGATGGTTTGCACCAATAAACAAGAACTATCAACCAAGGACAACCACATGACTACTTCTCTTTTCCATCAAACTGTGACCTCGTCACAACATTTTTCCCTTAAGGATTGCTTGTGCAGCTGTTCTATGAAATCAAATTACAAGAAAAGGGAGGCAACTGTATTTGTACACAGCAGCTTAGCTCAAGCAGCTAAAGCTGTTTTTAAGAGATGTTAAAATAAAGTTTGACATAGTGCAAAGTTTAACAATCCTAAATGAAAGCAAACGTTTAGCATTGCACACAAATTGCTTTAAATATTTACTTTTCAAGAGCTGGACCACCACCTGTCCACCAACAAACACCAAGACCCCAGTAAAATGACAGTCACAGCTAGACAAATGTTTTTTTTCAACCTTGTTATTGGGTCATAATTGGGAAAATAAAATAAAAAAATGACGGAAAAAAGTGTTGAAGGGCTCTCGGCATGTGCAAGACATCGTACTGCACCGTTCTTGATGTAATTTTCTAAGTGCAATGTTGTAAAGGTGGGCGAATAGCATGAGTGTCTGAGGTAATGACGCAAAGAGGCAGTAAACATAGAACTACCTGTACCCTAGAACAGTAATTGGTTGAAGTTTAGCATGAACAAGAGGTTGGTCTAATGGTTAGGTTCATAGGGAGGGCTAAAGCGGGGCGTACACTGCGATTTTTTCAATTGTTGCACACAGCTACAGCTCACAACGCATGTTCAGCCCGACGCTCTAAAAACCACGTCGGACTCAGCTCCGCAGTGAGATGGAGCTACTCTGACTCGTCTATCTAGAAGC